ATCGCGCTTGCTGGCCGGGACCTAAAAAAGAGGGCGATAGTAGTAATGATGTTAATAGTAAAAATGAGGATAATTATGATGATCATTTTGGTGATAATTGTAGTAATGATGATAATTATGATGATCATTTTGGTGATAATTGTAGTAATGATGATAATTATGATGATCATTTTGGTGATAATTGTAGTAATGATGATAATTATGATGATCATTTTGGTGATAATTGTAGTAATGATGATAATTATGATGATCATTTTGGTGATAATTGTAGTAATGATGATAATTATGATGATCATTTTGGTGATAATTGTAGTAATGATGATAATTATGATGATCATTTTGGTGATAATTGTAGTAATGATGATAATTATGATGATCATTTTGGTGATAATTGTAGTAATGATGATAATTATGATGATCATTTTGGTGATAATTGTAGTAATGATGATAATTATGATGATCATTTTGGTGATAATTGTAGTAATGATGATAATTATGATGATCATTTTGGTGATAATTGTAGTAATGATGATAATTATGATGATCATTTTGGTGATAATTGTAGTAATGATGATAATTATGATGATCATTTTGGTGATAATTGTAGTAATGATGATAATTATGATGATGATTATGATGGAAATAGTAGTAATGATGTTAATAGTAAAAATGAGGATAATTATGATGATCATTTTGGTGATAATTGTAGTAATGATGATAATTATGATGATCATTTTGGTGATAATTGTAGTAATGATGATAATTATGATGATCATTTTGGTGATAATTGTAGTAATGATGATAATTATGATGATGATTATGGTGAAAATAGTAGTAATGATGTTAATAGTAAAAATGAGGATAATTATGATGATCATTTTGGTGATAATTGTAGTAATGATGATAATTATGATGATGATTATGGTGAAAATAGTAGTAATGACGATAATTATGATGATCATTTTGGTGATAATTGTAGTAATGATGATAATTATGATGATGATTATGATGGAAATAGTAGTAATGATGATAATTATGATGATGATTATGGTGAAAATAGTAGTAATGATGATAATTATGATGATCATTTTGGTGATAATTGTAGTAATGATAATGATTATGATGATGATGATTATGGTGAAAATAGTAGTAATGATGTTAATAGTAAAAATGAGGATAATTATGCTCCCTAAATCCCTTCCTCCCTCCCTCCCTCCCTCCCTCCCTCCCTCCCTCACCAGCTTCTCTCCCTCTCTCCTTCCTTCCCTCCCCCTTTCCCTCCCTCCCTTCCTCCCTCCCTCCCTCTCTCCCTCCCTCTCTCCCTCCCTCTCTCCCTCCCTCCCTCACCAGCTTCTCTCCCTCTCTCCTTCCTTCCCTCCCCCTTTCCCTCCCTCCCTTCCTCCCTCCCTCCCTCTCTCCCTCCCTCCTTCCCTCTCTCCCTCCCTCCCTCTCTCCCCCAATCCTTCTCTCCCTTCCTCCCTCCCTCCCTCCCTCTCTCCCTCCCTCCCTCCCTCCCTCCCTCTCTCCCTCCCTCCCTCTCTCCCTCCCTCCCTCCCTCCCTCCCTCCCTCCCTCTCTCCCTCCCTCCTTCCCTCTCTCCCTCCCTCCCCCCTCCCTCCCTCCTCCTCTCCCTCACCCCTTCCTCCCTCCTCCTTCTTCCTCCCCCTTTCCCTCCCTCCCCCTTCCCTCGCTCTCCTCCCCCCTCCCCCCTTCTCTCCTTCCTCCCTCTCTCCCTCCCTCCTCCCTTCCCCGCCCTCCTTTCCCTCTTCCCTCCTCCCCCCCTTCCCTCCCTCCTTCCCTCTCTCCCCCCAATCCTTCTCTCCCTTCCTCCCTCCCTCCCTCCCTCTCTCCCCCACTCCCACCTCATTCTCCAGCAACGCCAGGAAATCGCACAGAGCCACAGCGTCCTTCAAGTGTGCGTTCATCATGCCTTGGCTCTCGACTTCGTTCTTTCTGCCTTTCATGAACAGAATCGGAGACGCTGCCTGATCGCGCTTGCTGGCCGGGACCTAAAAAAGAGGGCGATAGTAGTAATGACGATAATTATGATGATCATTTTGGTGATAATTGTAGTAATGATGATAATTATGATGATGATTATGATGGAAATAGTAGTAATGATGATAATTATGATGATGATTATGGTGAAAATAGTAGTAATGATGATAATTATGATCATTATGGTGAAAATTGTAGTAATGATAATGATTATGATGATGATGATTATGGTGAAAATAGTAGTAATGATGTTAATAGTAAAAATGAGGATAATTATGATGATAATTATGATGAAAATAGTAATGATGATGATGATAATTTTGATGATTATAGTTGCATTGAAGATAGTTATGATGATACTTATGATGATAATAGTATTTATGATGAGAATTATAATGATAATAGTAGTAGTAATGATGATAATTCTGGTGATGATTATGATGAAAATAGTAATAATGATGATAATTTTGATGATGTTAGTAGTAATGAGGATAAGTATGATG